GACCCTTAGTCATAACAGGCTCGGTAGGTCAGCTGTTGGAAACTGTGCAGAAAGCAGCTTGTCTGTAAATGATGTATGATCGGGAACTTAAGCCCAACCTGAGCTCCCCAACGTTGTTGCCAGTAGATCCTGAACGAATGATGCCCCTGATACGGGGACTTCCCGATTCCTTAAAACTTATCGGGATCCAGCTGCAGGGGAAAATTCAAAATACACCCAGGAAGGAGAGAATCGCGGCTGCCCTGGAGGGAATGGTGACCCCCGAGCATTGGCGGCTAGGGAGGAAGGTGCGGACATGGGGGGAGATAGCGCAAGAGTTAATTAACTATGGGAGAAAGTATGGCCCTGTTAGCCGATCATACCAGAAGTTTGAAACCAGAGCTGTGCGAACAGGGAAGCTGGCGGCTGCCATTCTCTAGGAGGAGCCCAGATCTAACTGGAAAAGAAAAGCCCCTAACCCGACAAGGATTATGCCAGTTGGGGCTGCCAAAGGGCGTTCCCTGGGATTTGATGGATGGACTCCCGACTAAGAAGTTAGAGTTGCTTGTGCAGAGATGGTCCAGGCAGGGAACTACTCCTAGACCAAGTCGTAATACCTTACCAGTAGTGAACATGGGGGAGCAACAAAAAGGGGACGAAAGGATGGCGGGAAACTAAATCCTCCGCCCCCCCCCAGGGTGAGGGGGGAGGCAGAGGGTGGATGTTTATAAGGCAACTCACCTGCAACGAAAAAGGGGATTTATTGATTATGGTGGTGGCAGGGCCAAAAAAAAAGGCCTGTAACCTTTTTAATTGACACCAGAGCCCAAATTACAGCACTAAGATGAACTGAGGCGGAACAATGTGGTATCTCGATCCCATCCAAATGCCTCATAGTCCTAAATGCCCTGGGTAAAACCCAAACCGTACCTATGACCCCGGTGACATTGTGGCTACCGGGAGAAGGTCCCGTTAACACTATGGCAGCAGTGGGGCCCTTCCAAATGAATCTCTTAGGTATAGATGTCCTGAAGGGTAAACAATGGCAGGATACCCAGGGGAATTCATGGTCTTTCGGCGTCCCCCAAATTAGGCAGTTAACCAGAATCTTCGGTGCAGCAGTGCGCCTGCTACAAGCGGCGCCTCCCCTCCCTCCTTCCCGGCGAACCAATGTAAAACCCTATCCATTACCGTTGGGAGCAAGACAAGGTATTGCGCCAGTACTGGAGGATTTGAAAAAACAAGGAGTTGTAGTCCCAGCACAATCTCCTTTTAACTCTCCTGTATGGCCAGTATGAAAACCTAATGGCACATGGAGATTAACAGTAGATTATTGCAGGCTTAATGCAAATACGGGTCCATTGACAGCAGCGGTACCAAATATTGCTGAGTTGATAGCGACTATCCAGAAACGAGCCCAACCCATCATGGCAACAATTCATGTTAAAGATATGTTTTTTATGGTTCCCCTGCTGCCTGAGGACCAAGATCGCTTTGCTTTTACGTGGGAAGGCCAACAATTCACTTTCACCCGACTCCCACAAGGGTATAAGCATTCCCCCACTCTAGCCCACCATGCATTAGCGCAGGAACTAGGGGCAGTTCAAGCAGAGAAGGAAGTCAGTGTTTACCAATATATCAACGACATTCTTGTGGGAGGGGATGAAATAGAGAAAATTCAGTTAACTCAGGATAATATAATTTCCCACTTAGAAAGTTTGGGGTTGAAAATTCCACTGGAGAAGGTACAAACACCCTCAAGCGAGGTAAAGTTTTTAGGAATCTGGTGGAAAGGAAGAATGACATGCATTCCACCGGACACCCTTTCCTTATTAGAGCAGATTAAAATGCTAGAGTCGAAAAAGGATTTGCAACTGTATTAGGATTATTTGTGTTTTGGAGAAAGCATATTCCTGATTTTTCGATTATTGAAAGACCACTGTATGACTTACTGCGAAAAAAGGCCCAATGGGAGTAGACTCTGGTCCACAATGAGGCATTACGACTGCTAATATTTGAAGCAACTGCCCATCAAGCTCTCGGTCCCATTCACCCCACAGATCCTATCCAAACTGAGTGGGGGTTTGCCCGGACCGGGCTCTCGGTTCATTTACGGCAAAAGGGGCCAGAGGGGCCCATTCGGCCTATTGGCTTTTACTCGCACAGTTTTAAAGACGCTGAAAAGGGATACGCAATGTGAGAGAAGGGCTTATTTGTAGTCTAGCTTTGAGAGAGGCCGAATGAACCATTCGAAAGCAACCCATAATTCTTTGGGGCCCATTTAATGTGACTAAAGCAGTCCTAGCGGGAACCCCACCCCCTGACAGGGTGGCTCAGAGAGCCTCTGTGCAAAAATGGTATGCCCAGATAGAACATTATTGTGACATATTTACAGTGTCTGAGGCAGCCACGAAGAGGTTAACCATCCAAGAAGAGGTGGGCCCAGACAGAGAAACAGCTGAGCTTCCCCCTGTGATACAGATAGCTCCCGTTTTCTGAACAAATGCACAATGTATGGTTCACAGACGCCTCGTCAAAGCGAGAAGGAAAGGTCTGGAAATATCAAGCTGTAGCACTCCAGGTAGAAACCAAGGAACAAATCATTACCGAAGGGGAGGGTAGCGCACAAGTGGGAGAACTGGTCGCGGTATGGAGCGTGTTCCAACATGAAGCCCAAACCACTCCCCCTGTATACATTTATACTGACTCTTACGCAGTATTTAAAGGTTGCAGAGACTGGCTACTATTCTGGGAGCAAAATGGGTGGGAGGTTAAC